GTCCACAGCAGTTCCAAATACCTAAATTCTCATCAAGGCTGGTCAGTCTCTGCTGGAAAAAAAAAATCCTAAAAGGTGTCAAGTGGGGTTTCTTCTTATTTTTCTAAGGATTAATAATATTAACCATCTTTTTCTATGCTAGTTATCTAATTATCCTCTAAATAATCTTCTTTAGGGAAATGTCAATTGATGTACTTTTCTCATTTTTAATCAGGTATTTTATTTTTACTGTTGATACGTAGGACTTATGTTTGTAGAGTAGATGTTATTAACACCCATCAGATATATGATTTACAAATATTTTCTTCTATTTCACATGTTGCATTTTCACTGTGTTGATTATGACTTTTGATGCACATTTTAAATTTTTACGTAGTCCAATTTATTTTTTTTCTACTTTTGTCTGTATGTTGGTGTTAAAGGTGTCAGTGTTTAAATGTCTATAAATACTCACTTACTATGCTCAGAAGGTGACACTGCACCATCTCTCTGATGGTGGACCAAAGAGTTTTATACTCTCCCATTTTGTACCAGGGAACAGTGCAGCTACGTGAGAACCCCGAGCTTATTTGTCTTGCATTTTTGGTGACATGGATAGTTGTTCACGTTGGCTTCCTCTGGCAGGTCCACCTGGAAAGCATTATATTTGTCGAGAAAAAAGGAGGGAGGGAATGATGGCCCTGTGGACTGTGTATATTCCCTGTTGGAAATGTCAAATCCATGAAGCATAAAGGGATTTACTAGATATATTAAATTCCTTATAAATTGTTGAAAAGCCCTAAGGAACAGGCTCCAGGCAAAGCCTCTAGCACAATTCCAAGAATGGCACTTCTGGTGCAGGCTGGGGAGGAGCTCCTGCTGCCTGAAACTCCACATTCAAGCTGTCTCCCGCAGAAAAGAGAGCAGCTCTTCTCACTACTGCCCCCAGAAGGACAGCAGCTCTGCTATCAACTGCTAGAGACTTGACCCCTTTCTCTGCAGCCCTGCCTGTGTTGATGACATCTTCATTACAGTCTCATGTAGATTCATCTGTTTTCATGGGTACAGCGGTTATTTCTGCCCAAGTGCATCCTGTGGCTTTCTATTATAAATACACATCTTGCTACGCTTGAATTTCCAGGCATTGCTAGTATCAAGTGCAGCATGCAGCATGCTACAACCTAATATAAACATTTTCTTTACAAAGGACACCATGGCACCCACGTAGCATTTTCCTCCCCAAAATGTGGGGAAACTCCAATCTGTTAAAACCAACACCATCTAGGAAAAAATATTCTTCTCTTGTGAGCCATTAATCTGTTTACTTATTATCTAATTTGTGGTCTAAATTGTAAAGGTTAGCTCTTTGATTTTTTTTTAAAGAAAGGGTGTATAGAAAAGATTAAATTATTTAACACACATATATGAATGACTCATTTAGTTATTGTCACCAACTTTTTTATATTTATTTTATACTCTAGTTTCTGGCAATACTTTCTCTATGGCAGAGTCTGGAAAGGCTACTCCTCATGTCCTTGGCTTCCTAAGTCCCAGATGTGGTGAAGAATGCCCAACAAATGTGTTGCTACAGAACGCTTTTGGATTGAGATGAGGGAGGGTAACTGCCTGATCTCACTCAAATGTGCGCATTTTCCTGATCTGGGTCACAGCCAGGCAGCCCAGTCCTGTGGGCACAATATCTTCACTTGCCAGGTTTCTAACAAAATGAGAGTATCTTCCTTCAGTGTGGAAAACACGGGGCGGGCAGGGTCAAGGAATAGCAAAAGGAGTGCTTGGAGTTGCCCGAGTTTCCACTCTGGTTTCCCCAAATGTTTTCCATCCATCTAATTCATGATAATAAACACCTTTCTGCCTAAAAAGTCATAATGGCTTTTCTCAGATCTAAATGATTCCGTGATAAAACTAAAGAGAAAAAATAAATACACTTTTCAACATTTAAGCTGACCAGGAGGCTGTCCCTGATGTTTTCACCTCCACATCCCACTATACATTTCATCTTCCCTTTGCCTCACTGGGGATCCAAGTGCAGGTAATGCTTCACATGACTGTGATCCCTAGAACTTCATCCTGATGACTGTTGAAATCTTCTCTGAGTTTTACCAGGGGAAATGGCAATAAATAGAAACATTCCAGAAGGTCACCTAGGTTTCATGTTTTCTGTACTTCCTCTCCAAAACATGTAAAATCAATTATGTTTGCTCTTGCTTTATGTGGACTACATCTATGGCCCCAGCACACACTCTAAAACCTATTGTTGACAACTTATCCAGTATTGTATTAAGTCTAAATGGTCACATGCTTATCCTATCATTTCTTCCAATTTAATGGAATAATTGTTATGTCAACCCTTTGGATTAAGAACCATCAACCAGTCCAATGCAGTGGCTCACATGTGTAATCCCAGCTCTTTGGGAGGCAGAGGTGGGCGGATCATGAGGTCAAGAGATTGAGACCATCCTAGTCCATATGGTAAAACCACGTCTCTACTAAAACTACAAAAATTAGCTGGGTGTGATGGCGTACACCTGTAGTGACAGCTACTTGGTAGACTGAGGCAGGAGAAAAGCTTGAACCCAGGAGACAAAGGTTGGAATGAGCCGAGATGGTGCTAATGCTCTCCAGGCTGGCAGCAGAGCAAGACTCCATCTAAAAAAAAAAAAAGAAAAAGAACCGTCAACCGTCAACCAGAAAACCATAGCCCTGAGAAAATAGAACTCGAGAATTTCAAGGTGTTCAGTTGGCATAACAATGATGAGTCTACAGCTCATTTTCAAGGTAAAAATATTCAGTTTATGGGAGTAAAAGCACCAATCCCCGTGAGTGTTTCAGAGCCTCCACCACTTCCGAAAGCATAGCAATTCAACAGTACAAGGGTTTGTGTGCCAGCTTTGCTTGACTAATAATGAGTTTTTCCCTGTCTATAGGGAAAGCTGCATCTGTGCACATGACAAGAGCATGAGCTACACTTCGCTTCACTTATTTTTTGAGGTAAACAGCTTGCTTGATCAAAATCCATATTATGGATGAATTTCCTGACTCTGATAAAAGCACTTGGAATATCCTCAAGTAGTATTTTATGCAGAAACATAACCAAAAAGAAAGGTAAATTTGTATTTAGGAAAATAACCACTATCCTCCTCATGTTACATGAGGTCCACTAGAATCACCTGATACCAGCTGTTAGTCTGAGCCCTGATGTGTCAAACAATGTTAGGGGTTCTTCTTGGCAAATTAGGTGTTTGGAAGAGCCAGTAGCCCTGTACATCTCAGTTAGTTGAAACTCATATTGTTGAGTCCTCACGGGGACCTCCATAACCTTGGTTCATGAGACTCTCTGGGAAAGCTGGGAAAGGTGACTGACTGAAGTCCATGTGTTGAATCATCCTCATTGTTAAAAGCCCCTGCTCTTTACTAGCATTTGAATTAATACTCACTTGTAAAGCATTTTCTTTGATTATGGCTCATTTTTGAAACATCTAGTCATAGCTCATCCAGAATGGCTTTGTCTGCAATCATCCTGTTGAATTTCTTTTAAGGCCTGATGATCTGTCAAAACTAACAGCCAATATTATTAAATTGCTGTTCTCTTTGCAATGTGATCTTCAGATGTAACCCTTGCAGTTTACCCACTGTTATAGTTTTTACATTTCCAAGGCTTCCCTGACAATGGCACTGATGTGACTCCATCCAGTATCCATTGCTGTGAGAACTCTATTTGGCATATAATCATTGTGGGCATGAACATAATGGAGACTTTCATAGGATGCAATGGTTACTATTCAGTGTTAGTCAAAATTTGTTCTAGTTCTACCCTGGGAGCTCTACTTGGTTGGAAAAAAATTTTAGGTGAGGACAACCATTTAGTAGAGTTTTAAAATAAAGAATGCAAAGAAATTATCTTAGCAAGAGTACCAACTATATGTGGTGCAGAATGCCATTTTTGTATGGAATGTAACAAAGGTTATTTAAATGTATATGAATACTATATATATATTTGTAGCCCACTTTTTATCAAATAAATATATATTCACTTCTATGTATGTTATATACATATATGCACATTTTTCCATAAAGTAAATTTTAATTTTTTATTGAAATATTAATTAGTTTTATTTTTGACTTTAATTTTCCCTTAATAACTTTATAATTTGATTACTAAATGTTCACATTTATACCACCAGTTAAGAAAAATACATGTGTGTATATACAGGTAGAGGTGTAAACACTGTATCAGGAAGCTTTTATGCATTAATGATTGGTAACTGGTTAAATACACAACTCAGTGGGTGATAACAGGAAACATTTGTTTTCATGTTCATGGATGCTCATGTTCACAATCATCTGGCTGATCAAGGAAGCGCTCAGCTGAGTGGTTTCTCTGAAGGGCACTGAGCTTGCCTTCAGTGTATAGATATCAATTTTCTGAGGACAAGGCTGAACAGCAGTGAGTACACATGACACAAGATTCTTGTGGCAGGTCTCAGGAGTCAACAACATCCCAAACCAAACTGCACAGTTGAATTTAAGCCCAATAATTTCTAACATAGTTTCACACATTTTAAATATATTCCTTTACTTCAGTGAGTACAAATTTTCAAGAAAATGTTAACTCCATTTAATTAAAAAGGTGTTTGATCATTCCATGGACAAATAATTATGCTTTCAACCTTTAAAACCTTGAAAATATTTGAAAATGTAAACATGCTTTAAGAGGAAAACAAAGCTGGATGTGTTTTCAATATGTGGTTTTAAATTTAATTTTTTAATGGCCTCATTGGGGGAGAAATCATTTTAACTTATGTAAATGTCCCTTTTTATCTCTCTTTTGTCCTATAGAGTTGCCCAATAAGAGGTCCTCCAATGAGATTTGGAAGTCGGAAAAGAATGACTCAACATTCTCCATTGGTACTTAAGACAGACACAGGGACAGAGGTGAGGACTGGAGAAACATCTGGAAAGATGCTGTAGGAAACTGTCAGCATCAGCACACCCACCCTTACACTTCCACACAGGATTGAGGACCACACGGTTAGAAAGCCCATAATTAGGGGCAGGTGCATTCTCTTTTCTGAGGGAGCACCAGAGAATCCTGCTTCTAATATCTTCTTCATGACTACTATATCCTTGGCTTTGAAAGACTGTAATGTGAAAGTTAATCAGAGAAACTGAGTCATTCTTGTCATACCCAACAGAGTCAAGAAACCAGGAGGAAAGGCACTCAGGATGCAAAATATTGTTTCTAGAACGCAACTGAAATAGGCCCTATTATCCCATGGAACCAATGTTTTTGGATTTTTGAATAAATGTAGATATTGAACCCCCCAGTCTTAAAACTCCAGATAGTTACATTTGTCTTATCTGAGTTCTTTTTTTCAGGAAGCCAACCATCAGGCCTCCAGATACCATAAAGGAGCTGAAACTTACATATCACTGAATCAGGATAGTGAGATCCTATGCCCATTATCATTGCCTAACTGACTTCCTGCTTCCTGTTGATCAAATTACCTTCCTTGCCCCTCCCTAATTTCTGTGTTCCCACTTTTCTTCCCTGCTATATAAACCTCTAATTTTCAGTTTGCCACGGAGATACATTTGTGAATGGTGTCCAATCTCCTCGGCTGCAGCACCTGATTAAAGCCTATTCCTTGGCAATACATGTTGTATTAGTGATTGGCTTTCTGTGTGGTGAGCAGCAGGATCTACATCAAATCCCTGGCATTTCAATAACAAAGTTCTCTGCAAGCTTCACTGCTCTGGCTTATTGTAACCTGAAATCAAATTTACCCACAACTTCTGAGATAAGTTGATATAATTCTAGGATTCACTTTGTCCACCACTGCTTACCAGTCTGAGCTTGCCAGCTCCCAACCCTTCCTAGTGCCAATGAACTTTCTCAAAGAGCAATAGGTAATATTTTCCCTTTTTCATAAAACGTTAACATTCTCTTTGTTCTTCCAACACACTGAAGACCACTGAGTTTTCCTGTATGTCCCATTTGGCCAATATTTCTATGCAAATAAAACATTACATTTAGAGATTCATCTCTACATTTCATTTAGACTTCAGTAGTTTACTGTAATTCTCTGTATTAAGACAATTCCTGCTTAGAATATCTATAGTGGCTTCTTCTATGTGATATGAATTCCAAACGAAACCATAAACTAGACTCCTCAGGTGTCATGATCTCTGTCTGTATTAAATCAGGAGAGGCATTGCTATGTCTGTGCAGCTGGCGCTGAGAAAGAAAAAGGAATTGGGATGCAGAGGTGACTTCATGTCCCCCTCTACCAACACCATCAGAGTGTGCCTGCATCTGAGGAACACTCTCAGCCCATGGAGGCATCAGGAGGAGCAGCTGGGGCAGCCCAGCCTCACACATCTGCTTCCCTGGGGGTTTATGTTCGGGTGTGTAACACTGTGGGAGGGTGACTATTATGCTGTTGACAGTAATAAGTTGCAAAATCTTCAGGCTGCAGGCTGCTGATGGTGAGAGTGAATTCTGTCCCAGATCCACTGCCACTGAACCGAGATGGGACCCCGCTTTCCAAACTGGATGCAGCATAGATCAGGAGCTTAGGGACTTTCCCTGGTTTCTGCTGATACCAAGCTAAATAACTGCTAATGGTCTGACTAGCCCGACAAGTGATGGTGACTCTGTCTCCTACAGATGCAGA